ACGTCTACAAGAAGAAGGTTGTGTAGTAGACATCAATGATGCATGTAGATTTCTGGGGCGGATGGGATTCGGTCGTGTACGTCCCTATTTTAGCCCGGGTGGCTTTAGAAGGGTGTGATGCGAAGCTTCATTGTCTATTGACATTATGAGATATGTCGGTATTTAGATTTTCATGGTAAAGACAATGACGGAGAACGTCATGGAGGCTGATGTCTGAGGCCTTAGTAATGGTAGGTCGAGTCTTCAAGGCAATGAGGAGTTTGCTTGGTGATTTGTGACTCATAGCAGTGGCAGCGGCAAGTGGTGGCGGTGGCACATGCGGAGTACATAGTCTTGGCTTTTAGGGTGAAAACCCAAGGTCAGGCCTTAATTGGTTGTGTTGGGCAATGTCCTTGTTGAAGGAATTGTTTTGAGAGTATGAATATTCTCCAGGATGAAAACCTAAAATCAATGATAGGGCAATGATGACGCTTGTGCACTGTTTATTTCTTGGAGGTGTCGCTTGTGGAGAACCTGAACTTTAGGTGTTGCCTTGGTGGTGGTTCGTGCTGCAACTACTAGGAATCGACCACTATAGCGGGATCTTTTTTCTTCTTCTTCTTTTTATCTTTTGGCTGTGTGCATCCGTAATGTCCTTATGACATTTAGTTGTTGCAGAGGCTGGGTGTAATTGGTATCTCCGCGATATTAATATATTCTCTTTATCAAAAAAAACCATCTCAAGTCCTTGCTGGCGCAAATTTGTGGTCCTTTTCTTTCGAAAGCAAAATCGCTGTAGGGGCGTCCCATACGTAAGTACATTAATGTGTTTTAGAACTCCTCATATAAGCAGTTAAGCACCAATGGTTTAACTAGTGCAAACATAGATTTAAAAACAATGTTTGTGCATCATTGCATTTCTTTTACAAAGAGCACTTTTATTAACTTAAAATGTAGCATCAAGCAGATACAAAAACATGATGAGCAACACCCTGTCTCTGCATAACTAAGCTGTACACAAGGAAACACTAACAGTCTGACAAGAGAAAGTAAGAATAACCGACGTAACCGTATAGGACCAACACTACGCCTATGCCGAAGGAGGTGGTGGATCGATTTGGAGATTATGCCCTTTTTTCACGATTCTGGCCTTGTCTGTAAACTTTAGCACAAAATGAATTCTCCACAAAATTATTTCACGATATGACCTTTTCAAAAATGCCACAAGTTGTGGTGTTGCTGACCTATTTGGAAATGCCAAACCAGCCTACGTTGCTGCCCTGGTCGAGAAGCTATGTGGCAGGGCTGAAACGCTAGCGTTTGTGGCGTTGCTGGAAACGCCATAGTGTTTGGCGTTGCAGCCGCAATATGAAACACCAGTGTGTGTGGCGTTTTGAGCAGCCTGTTCCCATTTTGCTAGTTCCCACTTATCTAAAAGGGGAGCAATGTAGGCTGGTTTGGCGTTTCTAAATAGAGCAGAAACGTCACAAGCTGTGGCGTTACCAAAAGGGTCAGACCATGAAATAAATTTCTGAAGAGTTCATATCGTGTTAAAGTTTTCTGAAGGTCAAAATAGTGGAAAGAGCCACCCATGTAGGGTATGTCCATGGCCATCTGCTCCAACCGCACACATACTCTGAGTTGGTATTTCGTTTGGTGTAACTTAGACCACACACGTTTTGATGTCAAGATATTCCGACATACATCTTGGAGTTTGGTTTGACTGCGAGATAAGGCTGAACATGCACTGTTGTTAAGGCTAGCGTTTGAGTTTTTGTCATTCTGGTTTCCCATTATAGCTCTTGATTGGAGGTTCAAACCTAGACCTTGAATTGGATATGTTCCAACAATGTTTTGTGCAATGTCATTTTTTCTTAGTGATGCTTGTCTAGTAGTTCTTTTTTGCATGATCTTATGATTTGTGCCAATTATCATTTTGTATTGTTCGACACAAGTTATGAAACCGAATTCAGATTTAGTTTAAAATCTATTTTTTCAAGATTATGTAAAATGCTAAAGAAACAAAACACTTTTGCTGACAAATCGTCAGTGGAGTGAAGATAATCTCAAAAGTCATAGTCGAGGAGCGTGGCTCGGTCCAATGCACATCGGGCTCACAGCTCTTGGCCTTGCAAATCAGCCACACTCAAAATTGTTATCGATTTCAATTTTTTGTTAATGATTAGTAACACCTTGGAACAGCCCGCTAACTGTTAGGTTTTCATTTGTAAGATCGGACAAGCAGAAAATCCTATATGACGCTCTGTACATCGATTCACACAAGGAGATCACGCGATCCTTCAGGTTGTGCCGGCCCGTTAAGTCTGCGTTCGGTGCAGAGGAATCACATAGGAATTCTGCAGGGCCGATTTCCACTGGAATATTTTCCTCTAAGCCAGTTCGCTCCACAGGAATCAGCACTGTCCATTCCACAGGAAAGTGCCCTCGACCTGTACTTTTCACGGAAATTGTTCGCTTATTTTCAAAAAATGTTTAAATCTTTTTATTTTTTAAGAATTTTAAAGTTACAAAAATGTTTCCATTTCAACAAAAAAATCACGTACTTTGTTTTTCATTTTCAAAATTGGTGGGGATTTTAAAATTATAAATTTCAAAACTTTCTTCCTTAAATTGAAAAAATAAGTTGTGTTTCAAAATGTATTCCCATGTTAATTTTTTCTGTAAATTCAGGAAATGTTGCATTTAAAAAAATATTCAGGATTTTGAAATAATTTGTTCCCATGTTCAATTTTTTTATAGATTTCAAATGTTTGTTCTCTAAATTCAAAAAATGTCATTTTTTCAAAATAAAAACTCAGGATTTTCAAATATTTTTTCCAACGTGAAACTTGTTTTCAAAATCAAAAAATATTCTGAAATTTTCAAAATTTAGTCGTGTTTGTAAAAAATAATAATCAAAAGTTCCACTTTTTGCTAGAATTTTGGAATTTTGTTCGTTATTCTTTTCAAGTGTTAAGTTTTGCCGTTGCATTTTGGGCTTTAAGCGTCGCAGTTTACATCTGCCACTAGAACTCGACAGCCCTAGCAGCACACGGGTCACGGATTCGAATCTCAACAAGTGTCAACTCCTTTAGCACAGGCACATGATTTTACACCTCGGGCGCTGTGGCCGTCCCAGTTTGCGTGACCCCTCTGCGTCGGGTTCCTATATGACGCAAAATGAGGCATATAGGAGGTCCCCCGGTAGGCTGCTTAAATCTTGGTCACTTCTCCGGACTTTCTTTGCATTCCTTTGAATATTGGTAAGAGAGAAGTCCATATTACAACCCCAAACTACCATTAAAGTCTAAAACACAACCCTGAACTATAAAACCGTCTAGTTTACAATCCTTAACTTTCAAAACCGGATAGAAGACAACCCTGGGGTGGTATTTGACTGGTTTTGACCGGTGTTGACCAGTCAACAACCCAGTTAGTGCCAACTCATCCGCCACGTCTTCCTTTTTTCAGCTCAGCACAATTTGTTGAAATTTTCCCAAATTTAATATGAGGGTATGTAGATTTTGAGGATTTTTTTCAAAAATTTCTGGACACTTTTCTTTTTGCCAAAATTTGACCAGAGGACGTGGCAGATGAGTTGGCGTTGACTAGGCTGTTGATTGGTCAAAACCGGTCAAATACCACCAAGGGTTGTTTTCTGTCCGGTTTTGGTAGTTCATGGTTGTAAACTAGACGGTTTCGTAGTTCGGGGTTGTGTTTTAGACTTTGGTGGTAGTTTGATGTTGTAATACAAACTTCTCTCTATTAGTAATCAATAAAGTGAAGATATTATACCTAAAAAAGTCTAATGTACAATCATCTCTCCAACGTCTATTTTTCTATGATTTAGAAAACTTCTGTTTTTGTGCGTTTCTTTTTTCAGCAACCGGTTGAATACCAGAATCATTTTTGTAGTAAAAGAAATACTAAAAACCACTATCTTCTCTCTTCGTGTTATTCCTATCCTAAAAACCGACCGGATAAAATCAAATGGCTCAAAATCACAAAATTGTTCACATATTTTGTTTTGTGTTTTCAAAATTTTGTGGGCGATTTTCTTATCAATTTCAAAATTTTGTTCCCTAAATTCAAAAAATATTCACATTTTGAAATTGTATTCCCATGTTCAATTTTTTCTATAAATTCAGAAAATGTTGCAGTTTTTTAAATTTTTTCGGGATTTTCAAATATTGGTTCCCATGTTCAAGTTTTTTCTTGATTTCAAATTTTGTTCTCCAAATTCAAAAAATCTTCAAGTTTTTTAAAAAAAATCAGGAATTTCAATTTTTTACCAATGTTCAACTTTTGTTCAAAACTGAAGAAATATTCATAAATTTTGAAAATTTTGTCATGTTTATAAAAAAACTCACAAGTTTCATTTTTTTCTAGAATTTTGTTCGTTATATTTTTCCACGTGTTAAGTTTTGCCGCTGCAACGAGGGCTTTAATTGTCGGGCTTTACATCTGTCACTAGAACTCAACAGCCGCAGTGCAGCACACGGGTCACGGGTTTGAATCCGAGCTAGTATCAACTCCTGTTGCACATCTACATGATTTTTCACCTCGCGCCCTGTGGGCCGGTCCAGTTTGCGTTACACCCCTGCGTCGGGTTCCTATACGACGCAAAATGAGTCATATAGGAGGTTCCCCCGGTAGGCTTCTTAAATCTTGATCACTTCTCCGGACTTTCTTTGCATTTCTTTGAATATTGGTAATCAATAAAGTGAAGATATTATATCTAAAAAAGTCTAATGCATAATCATCTCTTCAACGTCTATTTTTCTATAATTTAGAAAACTTCTGATTTTGTGCGTTTCTTTTTTCAGCAACCGGTTGAATACCAGAATCATTTTTGTAGTAAAAGAAATACTAAAAATCACTATCTTCTCTCTTCGTGTTATTCTTATCCTGAAAACCGACTGAATAAAATCAAATGGCTCAAAATCACCTCCCTAAAGGGGCGCCAAAATAGAAAAATTACACCTACACAACCAGGGGAGCAAACGCATGCGCCTCTCACGCTATAATTGCGCCTCCAAATCCCTCTGGCCATCCTCCAACCTAGGCGGCACCGATGGGCCGGCCTCGGCCGCCGGCGTCTTCGGGAACCTCTCGTCGTTGTCCGTCGGCTTGACCACCTCGGCTCGGCACACCGGGCATGTGGTGTGCGCCGTGAGCCACATGTCGACGCACGCCCTGTGGAAGAGGTGCATGCATCTAGGAAGTTGCCTGGCCACCTCGCCGTCGGCCATGGTGCAGAGGCATATCGAGCACTCCCACCGGTCGCTCTCGTCGGCCGTGTGTCGGTACTCGAACTTGGGCAGCGCGGCGATGGCGTCCTCGCTGAGGCCGGTGGGCCGCTTCTTGACCACCACGGTCGCCCCCGCGCCTGTCGACGTTGCGGCCCCCACCGTGACCCGGTTCACGGCCCGCCGCATGAGGTAGCAGCGTATCATGCAGAGCACGAAGAGGATGATGAGCAGCGTCGCGAATGAGATGCCGAGGACCTCAAGGTAGGACGTTGTGGAGCAGCAGGCCGGGTCGTTGTTGCGGGTGGCGCGGTACGCGCTGGACAGCCGGGAGAGCGCGAAGCAGGACTGGTCGACGGGGAGGCACCCGGTGGTCTGCTCGTGCATGCGCTTGGCCTCGGCCATCGACAGATCGCTCCGAGAAGGATGGGCTGTGCAAGTATCACTATCATTGGCAATTCGCGGTAGTGTGGAGAGGAGCGGAGCGCGAGATAAATAGGTGGGTGTCTTTCTTTGGGGTTTTGCTTTGTGGTGATGGGAGCAGAGCAACCTGCGGCCGGGGGGAGAGAATGAGACGACAGTATTGTGGAAGATGCGCGACCCTTGACAGAATTAGGTTGCTGTGAGAGACCACTAGTGCCGCCCTATACTCCCTTGGTTTTTATTTTTGGGTAGCATGGGTTCTCTTCGTAAGTGTAAAAGCCATTTGTGTAGGTGAGTGTTACTGTTGCATCAGTTACTATTTCAAATTACGAAAAAACCTTCATGTATAAGAAATACAATTGGACCCGAATATTCAGCGAATGTCAGATTTTTAGGCATGGCAAATCAAACATTTTTTATGTCAAATTATGTTAGCCGAGGATGGAAAATTCGCTTTAGTTCATTTTTTGCTAGAAAATTGCTGGGCTCACCAACTAAATTTGTCCTCCACGCGCCAATACAAGTTGCCATGAGAAATGTTCGATTTGCCATGCCAAAAAATCTGACATCAGATTTAGCATTTTCATAGACTTGTGAGTAACTTTTTCCGATAAGAGGAAATTGGTGAGTAACTAGAAAATTTTATTGGATCAATAAGTCTCCAAACAACGGAAGCCCGGATCTGGATGGCTTCTTAATACGTCTCCAACGTATATATAATTTTTAATTGTTCTATGCTGTTATATTATCAATCTTGGATGTTTTATAATTATTTTATAGTCATTTTATATCATTATTTGATACTAACCTATTGACATAGTGCCAAGTGGCACTTGCTGTTTTTTGCATGTTTTTACATCGCAGGAAATCAATACCAAACGGAGTCCAAACGCAATGAAACTTTACGGAGATTTTTTATGAACCAGAAGACACGCAATGAGCCAAGGCAGCGCCTGGGGGTGCTCCGAGGGGAGCACAACCCACCAGGGCGCGCCAGGAGGCCCAGGCGCGCCCTGGTGGGTTGTGCCCACCTCTGGTGCCCCTGGACTGCCTTTTTACTCTATAAATACCCTCAATATTTCAGAAACCCTAGGGAAGTCAACGAAAATCAATTCCAGACGCCGTAGAGTCCAGAACCACCAGACCCAATCTAGACACCATCACGGAGGGATTCACCACTTCCATTGGTGCCTCTTCGATAATGCATGAGTAGTTCTTTGTAGACCTTCGGGTCCGTAGTTAGTAGCTACATGGCTTCTTCTCTCTCGTTTGATTCTCAATACAATGGTCTTTTGGAAATTCATATGATGTAACTCTTTTTGCGGTGTGTTTGTTGGGATCGAATGAACTTTGAGTTTATGATCAGATCTATCTTTTTATATCCATGAAAGGTATTTTTGTTTCTTTGATCTTTTATATGCACGATTGCTTATAGCCTCGTATTTCTTCTTCGATATTTGGGTTTTGTTTGGCCAACTTGATATATTTATCTTGCAATGGAAAGATGTGCTTTGTAGTGGGTTCGATCTTACGGTGCTCGATCCCAGTGACAGAAGGGGAACCGATACGTATGTATCATTGCTACTAAGGATAAAAAGATGGGGTCTATCTCTAGATAGATAGATCTTGTCTACATCATGTCATCGTTCTTATTGCATTACTCCGTTTCTCCATAAACTTAATACACTAGATGCATGCTCGATAGCAGTCGATGTGTGGAGTAATAGTAGTAGATGCAAGCAGGAGTCGGTCTACTAATGTTGGACGTGATGCCTATGTAATGATCATTGCCCGGATATCATCATGATTATTTGAAGTTCTATCAATTGCCCAACAGTAATTTGTTTACCCACCGTTTGCTATTTTTCTCGAGAGAAGCCACTAGAGAAACCTACGCCCCCCGATCTCTTTCTCATATTATTTACCTTCACGATCTATTTATTTTCCTTTTATTTTCAGATCTATTAAACTAAAAATACAAAAATACCTTGCTGCAATTTATTTTATTTGGTGTTCGATCTATCAATATTTACAACTTTCTCCTGTCTACATGCCAATTTCTGGCGCCGCTACCCGAAAGGGATTGACAAACCCTTTTACACGTCGGGTTGCGAGTATTTGTTATTTGTGTGCATGTGATGTTTATGTTGTGTTGCTTGGTTATCCTACTGGTTCGATAATCTTGGTTTCATATCTGAGGAAAATACCTACCGTCGTTGTGCTGCATCATCCCTTCCTCTTTGAAAAAATACAGACGTAGCTTCAAGCGGCATCACTTCTCTAGTGAATTTACAAAGCACTAAAATAAACAAAGGAAAATTTACCGGTTTCTTGAGAGAATTCTATGATCTCGAAGCTAACCTGAAAGGGAACAACACTGTAACAATTATTCTATTACCTAAAAAAGAGTATCCCTTCGAAATTAAGTATTACATGTGTATCTCCCTTGTACACATCCTCCCGAGCTTGTCCACCCTCTACAGTTAGGTTTCTTAGGCGGAAGATGCATTGTCGAGAACTTTGGGCTCGCAGCTGAGCTGGTTCAGTACGCCCACAAAAGGAAATTGCCAATGATTGTGTTGAAGCTGGACTTCCACAAAGTCTGTGATGGCGTAAGTTGGGATGGAGGTTTGAAGAATTGGTTATTTCAATTGGCAAACAAGAGAAGGTGGACATGCCTTTTACAAGGAAGCATGGAGTTGCTAAACTATTCGTGGGGGTTATCAATATTGATGAGGTCCCATAATTTGTAAATTGGTATTATAAGAGTGTTGGCTATGAACTGCATTTAGAGATAGAAGGGCATCCTTTCCTGAGTGATGACATGCATAATGGCGATGATCAAAATGATAAGTCCGTTGACGGGGCTGACAAAGGTGCTGATAAAGGGAAGGGAACCGAGGGAGACCATTCTTCACGTAATGGCAAAGGAGGGGCTACTGAGTTTGTGTCTCGTAAAGACAACTCATTGGTGCCTATTTCGCAAGTTGTGACTAGGATGGTAACCTCTACACTGACTGTGGGTAGGGATGTAAATGGCAAATAAGCGGCGTCCGCAAGTCACATTTAGTTAGCTTTAGCCAGCCCCGCAGTTAATTTTCCCCCAGAAAACAAAATATTGAATTGTTAGATCATAAGTGGGTTTAAACAGGGTTACATGGGACCGGGTTTACATCCCTAATTGTGGGTATACGGTTTTAGTCTTCTGCAATGGGCTCAGCTCTTAGTCTCCTTTGAAATCATGTAGAAGGTGATGTCATGACGGAGCAGGAGCCACCGTTGCAATCTCCGGTGCGTGAGGATGTCCCACTTTTGGTGCGGCCTGTTGAGCCTCGACCTTATTGTGGCGTTGGGCTAGGCAAGCCCACCAGGGTCATGTTTCCTGGGTTGTCACCTACTGGGCTTATGGCAGACACGCTGAGGCAGAAGCCCTCGCCTGTGCGGGCCACCATTAGTGGGTCTCTTCCTCCTAGGTCAGCCTTGTGCAGCCCGCTGTTGTATCGCCGTTACATGAAAATTCAAGGCAGGTGCTCTCGCCGAGCACTATTACAGCTAGAAATCCTCCCTCGTTCACCTGTGGCTGCAGCTCGAAAGTCATCCACTGTCAGTTGCAGCTAGGTGATCTTCTTCACCGATGGTTCCTGTTAGACCTTCTTACATCTCTAGGGCGGATGTGATCACACTTGGAGGGATTCTTGATCCATCTTCGGTGGATATGCCTACGATCTAGTGGATTCAAGTGCATCCAGATGCCGATGAGTTGCCGATGGGTCGCTCCATGCGGGCGGCGAAGCTTCTCAATATCGAGTCTACTACAAGTATGTTGGTTAATACACATTTTTTTGATTTTGGAAGTTTTCCAAGGAAGTTATTTTAGATAAAACGACAAGCATTGGGGTTTCCTTGGGTAATAATAGTCATGAGGCGACGATGTTTATTAATGAGTTGTTGGACTCTGAGGCAGATAGAGCTATGGTCATGTTACAAAACTGTGCCACTAAACAGATGGAGGAAAGTGATGTTAGTGGGTTGGGTATTCAAGTGATTGATTTGTTATGTGAGGATCTTGCTCCTATGAGTGTTGAGGTGCTACAACATCATGTAGATATTCCGGGTACTCCTAGGGGCTCTAAGGCAAAGGAAGGTCATGCAAACATTCATGTGCCCCTGAAAAAGAACATGCACACTCTGAAGCGAATACAACATGATTTTTCTGCAGTGTGATATAGTTCTAGGAATAAGTTAAGGGTTAAATATCACGATGAATTATGAGAGGCATCTTTTGGAAATAGCATATCTCTACTAGACTTGGGGGAGCGTATGTTTATTGATTAAACGACGAGGAAAGAAAGGTTGGATTTTATTGCCCTATTAGAGATCGGTAAACCCAATTTTACTTTGCAATTTTTGGGCACTATTTCAGGTGGTTTGGATTTTTGGGTATTGCCATCCTCCTCGGGGGTGATCTGGTGGAATCTTACTTGGGGTTGGAAAGTCTTTACTTCAGGTCAGGAAGATGGAGGTGGGTGATTATGCTGTCAAGTTTCACGTGTAGTCGAAAGTTGATGGCTATGATTGGGCTCTCATTTCGGTTTATGGAGCAGCATGACCTGAGCACGTGCCCGCCTTCCTAGATGAATTAGTTCGTGTCTGTGGAGATGAGAATTTGCACCTTTTTGTGGAGGAGATTTTAACATTATTCATCAGAGCGATGAGAAGAATAATGGTAATTTTGATGGTAGATGATCTTTCATGCTTAAGGCTATTATTGAGAACCTTGACTTGTGAGAGATAGCTCTTACAAGTCGATAATATACCCACGCTAACAATCTAGAGAATCAAACTTATGAATAGTTGGACTGTGTTTTAGCAAGTGTGGAATGCGAATAAAAATCCCCTCTCATAATGGTGCGGGTGTTAGTCTGTCTGATCATACACCTTTATTCGTTGACTCCAGTGAGGTGGCTCATGTGGGGAACAAG